ATATATATATATATATATATATATATATATAATATTATTGTATGTATATCTAAGAACTATTTACATAAATTAGATTTATATTTCTTATTACTTAGTTTGTTGAGTTGTAGAATGTAAGACTTGACAGATTGTTCTAATAATAATTATTATTATTATTAATTATTAATATAATTAATTATTAAAATAATTTAATTCTTTAGACACACTTTAAATTTCCGATATTTGATTAAAGAACTACTTCCATTAACAATTTTTAGTAAGAAATTAAAATAATAAGATAAAAAATTATTATAAAATAAAAATGTGAGAAACTATATTATATAAAATATTTTTTATTTATTTGGATGAAATTTTCCAAAAGAGGCTAGAAAAAAATAATAAGATACTTGAATGATAAAAATAATAAGATAATGAAACACTAAAAGACGGGCCATGATTTTGATGATAACGATGAAACTCTTATCACTCGTACAATAATAATTTAGTAAAAGGAAGAGGATCTGAAGAGTCCTACTAGTCTCATTTTTTAAAGACGTGAAATTATATTGCACTTGAAAAAGATATTAAAAATAATAATAAAGGTATCAAACCATAACAAAAGCTCCTGTAAAAGTTTGTCGATACATATCAATCATAAAATAAAAATGTAAACTTTTGCAATATTTCTATTTAGTTAGATTTATGTACAAATTACTTTTAGAATCTGAGAATGGTTTCACTGAACCCATCGAGAGAGATTAAAAAAGAGAGAGAAAAAAAATTATAATGTTATTCAATTATAATTAAATAGTAATATATAAGTCTATTATTTTGATTTCTGTAAAAGAAAAAAGAGTCTATTATTTTGATAATTATTAGTTACCTTGAAAAATTACATTGAAACTGATTTTTAATAGATTAATTATACAAAAAAATTTCATACTAACAACATACATGCATTAAATTTATTATTTAAATATATTTAATTTAAATAAGAGTTTTATTTCAATAATCAACAAAAAAAATGAACATTTAACATTAATATTAACATTTTAAATTAATAAGACTCTAATTCTAAAAGAATAACACGAAGTTTTTTCCTTGCTTACCAACCTTTCTTTGGGATTTCGCATTCTTGCATCTCAAAATGAATTTCCATACCATTACCAACACCAAACACCCGTTCTTCACGGGAACTCGCTCACATGCAAGAGTTTTTGATTGGCAAATACAATAATCTATTGTCCATATTTATGCTATATATAAGCTTTGCATAACATACACCTCTGGTTGATATAAAAATTTAAAAAATATATATATACATATGCATATAGCTCGCTTCTCAAGATCAGATCGAGAGAGAGGAAAGAGAGAATCTCCAAAGCAGTATACGACAGGTGTAGATAGATCGATGTAGACGCATGGAGAATTATTGGGCATGTGTATGCAATTCAATCCGTTTTGTCCATTATGCGCCATTGTTCATCCCCAGCTGTAACCCCTCACCCTTCTCTTTCAAACATCACCATGCCATTCTATTTCATAACTTGGACCCTCAATTCTTTCTATTCACAAGTACCATCATCAAGCTAGTGAGAAATTAGTCCAATTTAATCTATTATATATAACTGTATCAAATAATATTTAGAAGAAAGCTAGCTTTATCATATATTCTTATTTAATTGGATACCTGCACAAATTATTAGCAATCAATTTTTACGTGAGGACCATAATTGAAACCATGTGATAATTTATCATTATATACATTTTTTTTTTATCAATCAATCTTCCAAGCATATAGAAACAAACAAAACTCGGATGACTCGGTGACACTAAAGCCCTCCAGTGAGCCAGAACTGCCGGTTTGAGTTGACAAGGGTGTGGACGACGATGATAAGGGTGGTGAAGACGATGAAAGTGAGTGTGATGATGACATAGAGAGAGATGATAAAACAGGCTTAAAGATGAACAAAGCATGTTTCAAACCAGGACTAAAGAGCCAATCGTGAACGTCCCAATACACCTCCACTCTCATTTTGTTGAGATGAATCGACTCGTTCCCTCTAAACTTCCACTGCAAGTGCTTCACGTGGATCACCACGTGCCCGTCAAATCTTATCTCCATCTCTGGCTGAACCTCAACATGAACCCCACTTGCGGAATCTCCTCCGATGTTGCTCTTGTTCTTGCACTCGATCGAGATCTCGTGGCACCTACCCTTCTCGTGGAACTTGGCCCTAGTGGAGAACTTTCTCTTCCCAAACATGTGTTCTTTTTTCCAAACCAATATTGGGTCGATAAGCGCTGGTCTGCACCCGGTTCTTCTGTACGCTTCTTTCTTCAAATCACCGATCAGCAACACAACCTCTTGGTCGCACACCACTGCTACATAGTACTCCGAGGTTGGTTCTGTCTCGCCTTTGAATTTCGCAGCCTTAAGGTCCCAGAAAATGTCAACGGCTTTGTTGTTACCATGCAGTGTCAAGCGCTTGGAACCTTGTTTTCTCCAAAAGTACCAGGGCTTCAGCTCCACCTTGCAGCTGTATTGGGCCTCTCCTTCTGGGCCTTCCACTGACACTGATAGCCCATGGAGCATCAAGTTTTTGCACCATGTGATGGTGATCAAGCGGCACTGATCAGCAATCTTGGTTCTGTACACTGACATGTGAAGGCTCTGGCCTGAGCGGGTCACCGTTGTGTGATCATCACTTGATTTCAATGCAGAAGAGAAGCAAGCTGGAATCCCAATTGAGTCTTGCATTGTTCTTGATGATCAAAATTTGTTGTAGACAAGACAGGGACAATCGACAAATATTGTCGATGATGAACTCTTTTTTCAGACAATTCTGTTCGAGTCAATAATAAATGTGTTGTTGATGATCAACTCTTGTACTCACAAGTCTGTTCGAGTCAATGTTCACAATCAATGACAAATGTTGTTGATGATGAACTCTGGCATAGACAATTATGTTCGAAACGATGACAAATGTTGGTGATGTGTGATGAACTTTAGTACACAATATGAGGAGTGATGAGTGGGTTGATTATGGTGAGAGTGGTGAGAATGGAGTGGGAGATGAATGAATGAATGAGTGTGAGGGAGATCTGTGTGAAAGCAAGGTGGTGCCAGGAGTGCTTAATGGGGTTTGGAATAGAAAATTATTTATATCTAAACTGGCTGGCAAATGGACTGGCAGTGAGTGACAGTTAATGAAGAACAACCCTTTTAATAATATATATGCACAACTGTCAATAATCTCTCTTACCAGTAGCCTCCTCAAATTTTATTTTACATTAAACTTTCCATCATCGTTTCCGGACAAATTAATATATGGCGGATATGCTAGATTTTGATAATTAAAATTTTCCACTTTGACCCTAAACACTATAAAGTAGATTAGTTTTTTTTTTTTAAAAGATACCGATGTGTATAGTACAGCTAAGTATTAATATAGCTGATATTAGTAGTTTTAGTGATTATATTTTTAAAAATACCAAAAGTTTACATATATATCCATAATCAAATTTGTTGTATGTAATGTATCCTTCATTAAAATAAAAATAAAAATACAACCAGACAGAGACAACTACTTAATTTAACTAATTTATGGGAGATCTCTTCAAAAAGTCCATTAAACAAAATTTTAGTGACATTATTTATAATTTTGTTAGGAGGGGAATATTAATATTATGGATATTTACGAGTTTTGCTGAAAATTAATGACTACTTCTGATTATTTCATATCAATATTATAATTATAAAAAATATAATAACATACATTTATATAATAAAAAAAATATAAGAGCTAAGTTTAAATCCTTAACTATTTAGAGTTTTTTTTTAATATAAGCAAGTATTTATTTAGAACTAAAAAGCTTGTAGCGTTATACATTAATTGCAATTTTTATTTTATTTTTGTTTAATTGACCTTTTAAATTTGAAGTTGAAATTATAAATGTCTCTTTTTCAGACTAGGTGTTTTTGATTGGGTATATTGAAAAGTGCGTAGTTGTAGGCAGAGTGAGAAACGGACTTGCCGTATTTTCACCAGATTTGGGGCATGGATCATGGATGTTTAACAACTTGGGACAGGAATCATCTATCGTCTACTCGTGACAGCACATGAAACGGTACTATATACATAACAAAATGTGAATGATAATCGGTCAAAACTTAGAAGGGAGAAAATCAAATTTGATAGTATAACACTGTTTTTTTTTTTTTTTTTAAGAAGCAAAAATTCTATCCATATTCATATTCTATTCTTTTTACTCACATGCAAATAAATAAAGAAGAAAAGAAAATTTGATGATGTGGGGGTTGTTTGCCGCTCACTTTAAATTAAAAAAAAAAACAAAACAAAACAAAAATGTATAACTTTACTTTGGAATGCAAATTATGTTTTTTTTAAAAAAATATATTCATACAATATCTTAAAATTGATAATTAAAAATTATAATCTAAATTTATAAATATATTTTTTACTAACCAAATATTATTTTAATATGGACAAAAATCAAACTTAACACCTTAAATTATAAGATATAACTTTAAAATACGAGATCATTTCAACAAATTACTTATAATATCAAAAGAAAGAATGTTCAAAACAAGACTATAACGTACATATGAGAGAGGTTGCATAGCCACTATAGAGCATATTAATTAGAATCTTTGAATCAATTTCAACCCAGAGATTTTTGTAGGATAGCGCACAACTCAAGTCATGCATGTTTGATAAAGATTTAAAAAAGATGAAAAATTTATTTACAAATTCTTTTCTAAAATAAAAATCAAGAATCAATTAATCAAATGATAAATACTATCAAAAAAATTATAGTGATACAATACTTATTATTAAAAATTACTTTTATCTATACTATAAATACAATATATGTTAATATATTTATTAAAATATATATATATATAAATTATAATAATAAATAATATATGTCGTTAAATTTTATTTAAAATTAATATTAAAATTATATAATTATATATTAAATAAATTTATACCTTATATAGTGTCATTTTTTGTATGTTAGTATGTGATATTTCTTATAATGATGTATTAAACCTTTTTAGAATTCTCTATTATCTAATTTTTAAAAATAAGAGAACGATTTCGTGGTAACTTACGGTTCAAAGCATTGTAAAAAGAAGGGAGTTTCGTCTTTCATGCTATATAATTTGTTGCCCACTCTTATTTTATGTTTTTTTTATAACAATAATAATAAGATTCAAATTTAAAATTCTCTATATATTATATATTTTAATCATCTATCACTATATACTCACTCTATTATTTGATGTCTTCACTATGTGATCTAATTAATATTTGAATTTTATTCATGATTAATATATTATAGAACAGAATGCATGATTGCATGCTCCAAGTATTCCATCACCCTTGTGCTGACATAATGCTAAGTCCTAGCCTTTTTTCTTTTTAATTTTTTATATGATCTCTTGAAACCTTCACCGCAAAGAAGAATGGTAACAGGATTCAAAGAATGCTAATCTTAGTGAAAGTCTGACGAATATGTTGATATCGTTGCAGTTGTAGATCTGATCTTAAATTGTGTATAGTCTAATTCAGCATTTTGCTTCAAGACAAGAGAGTCTTTGTTCATAGTCATCAACCCTCCTCAAATTAAGAAAGGGAGGGGTTTATATATTCTAGTGATTGAATTTGACATCAGCCTTAGCTTATGAACTGTCCACATGCAATTGGATAACATTCCAAACGTTTCAAACATATAAAATAGCCGCAACCAGTTTTCGCCCACAAAAGTTAAGGAGAAACAAAAGAAAACTCCACATAATAAGTAGTGAGGCACGTGTTAGTGTAACATCAGAATTATTTGTATATTTCTATATGAATTTTAGTCGAGTAAATTTCTTAATATTTATGTTCAACAAAATCCTCTATTTATAGGCAAGAGTTGAGTGATAACTATTGAAGTATTTATAAAATTAAATTTAATTGTAAGTTGGATATGGTTCTTTTGGAAGAGATTATTATGTAAAAATGATTAAAAAAAAAGTTATTTTTACAAGTTAAATCAAACTACACGATGACTGTTGGCTTGAGGAGGAATTAAGGAGAGCCAGAGTTAACAGAAGGTGAATTATAAAAGAAAAATATGAATAATCATCATTTGAGATATATTGTGGGTGTATATATGTACTTTAAATAAATATAATAGGCAATATATAATATTAAAAGAAATATAAAATATGAAAATTTATAACTTTTTAAAAAAATTGTGATCCCCGTAAACAAGATAAGACATGACTATGCCTTGGAATGGATATGTATATAGGTGAATTCTCTGATAGACCAGTAGTACAAGTGGTGTATGGGTGCACTATGAGTTTTGACCCTAAGATACATCTAAATTAATAGACCATTATACATCTTATCACACTGGATTTAAATTTCTAAATTTTTTGCTGAATTTTTTTTTTAAATTACCAAAAAAAAACACGTGTTACGATGCACTGACGCAGCTGCGATTCACTTTCGGAACGGACCGTTCTGAAATCAGAACGGCTCGTTCTAGATGAAAAAATAACACATGAATAATGCATCACAACGGGCCATTCCAGATAAAAAAAAATATGATGACTGGCTCAGAACGGGCCGTTCCGAAATCAGAACGGCCCGTTCCAGATTCAAAAATAACATATGAATAGTTAAACTAGAACGGGCCGTTCCGAATTCGGAACGGCCCGTTCTAACTACATATTTGTCATAAGCACTTTTTTTAAGCAAAATAATATTTTTTTTCATTCTACTAACTTACATTTAAAATTTATGTATAATTTTTCAATTGATAATGTTTTTCTATTAGAATTAGAGGTTTACATTAATTATATGCGTAAATTTTTAATTCTAATTAGAAAATAACACCAAACACAATTTTCTATTATAAATATATTTTTCTCTCATTTAAATTATTGCAAAAATTTGTTAGTTTTAGTTTTATATCTCGACATTTTTCTCTTAAAAAAATGATGTTACCAAATATTTTTAAATTTGATTTACATTAGTTTAATTGCTTTTAAGGTGCATAGACTTTCGTGGTTTTGTTACCAATGCTACAAATATTAGGCGTTGATTAAATGTCACCTAATGTGAGGAGAGATACTCATTTTCTATTTGGATTTGCATTGGGTGCTAATGTATGTGGCGTTAAACATAAGTTAGACAAAGACCCTCTGCCTAATTAGTAGACACGAGAGAATAGGAGACTCTTTGCCTCAATGGCATTAGGTGCGGGTAGTTTGGTGCTAAGCGTGAGTGAGATATGAAGTCCCTTCCTCAATGACATCAAGCATCCTATGAATGAAGCCCAAAACTAGGCCTAATAAGCTTAAAACCCAAAAAGTCTTATACTAAGGCCCATAATACAAGACCAAACAATATAAACTCCTATACTACCAAATATATGAGAAAGGCGGTCATCCATGTAAAGCCCAAGTAAAGTGAACACTAGGCCCACCAAACCCATTGGGCTCACTAAGCTCAGAAGCAGTCAAAAGCTCAAAGGCCCATGAAGTCCAAAACTAGGCTCAATAAGCTTAAAACCCAAAAAGTCTTATACTAAGGCCCATAATACAAGACCAAACAATATAAACTCCTATACTACCAAATATATGAGAAAGGTGGTCATCTATGTAAAGCCTAAGTAAAGAGAACCTTAAGCCTACCAAACCCATTGGGCTCATTAAGCTCATAAGCAATCAAAAGTCCAAAGGCCCATGAAGCCCAAAACTAGGCCCAATAAGCTTAAAACCCAAAAAGTCTTATACTAATGCCCATAATACAAGACCAAACAATATAAACTCCTATACTACCAAAAATATGAGAAAGATGGTCATCCATGTAAAGCTCAAGTAAAGAGAACCCTATGCTTACTAAGCTCAGAAGCAGTCAAAAGCCCAAAGGCCCATGAAGTCTAAAACTATAGACCATGATTCAGAAACAAAATATGTCATACTTGGAATCTGACCAAAAATAAAAGGCCATGGATCATCCTTGGGACCACTAATGTTATGGGCCACATCTTGATTTTGCACGTTTAGAGGGCTCATGGCTCTCCACGACACCAGCAAAACCACACATGCATGCATATATAGGTGATAGGTCACACATTGTCTCAGTAGATTCGTTTGGCGATCTTCCAAGTGTTGAAC